TGAATGAGCAAATGAATATTCATTACGACAACGAATAAATTTCCAAGCGGAACAAACATTCATCAATAAGGGAACGATGAACCAAAGTTTTAATTGGGAAAGAAGTTTTAATAATGTCTGCTAAATTTGTTGAATCTACACATGGCAAAACACAACTATGTTACCTCGGTCATCGATATTCTCTCAAACGTAAAAATCAAAATGGTTCAGAATATTGGGCATGCGTGAAGTGTAACGCTACAGCAACAAGTTAATCGGACTCGTGGGTCGTAGTGCGTGACCATCATACACATTTACATGATGGAACTGATATGGAAATATTACATATTAGAAAAACTTTAAAACGTAAAGTTATTGAAGAATCTGGCCCAATATATCGTATAGTCGAAGAAGCATAACGCGCTGCTAATATATATTTTTTCTCATAATACATTGGTCGGCGCAATGAATATTCATTTGCTCATTCATTGCTTTTCGTCCAAATAATCAGTGGAAAGTAAATCCTTATACAAGAAAGTTAATTGGGGTATATTTATATGTAATCAACGGAAAGTAAATCCTCTATAGCAAAAATTATACTTTTCTATGAAAGAAAACTAATTAAAATAGAAATTAATCAATGGATAGTAAATCGTGTACTCGAAATTGGAGAGATTATCTATTATAAATTTTTGTTTTTCTAAATTGATCTTTTCTAAACTTTTGAACTAAAGTAGTATATAAAAGTTTGTGTATTGGAAAATGTGTAAATCTACGTTGGTGGACGCATTCCAAATAAAATACTTCTCGAGCATATTTGAGCAATAAATAATATGAATCAGACGAATTAAAAATCACAAATATTATTATTTCACAACGAAGTCTAGTCACGTGTAACGTATCTTGAACTAGAAATTTTATTTTTATGCCCAAGAAAAATCTTGTAACAAAGGAAAGCACAAAAAACCCAAAGACTTGTAAATACAGTGCCACCACGCAGAAAAGATAAGAACCGCGAGAAGCGAGTATAGAAGAAAAAAGTATGATAAAAATTAGACAATGTATCGGAATGATTAATTCTTTTCGATTTGCTGTTGCTACTTCTTCTGCTTTAAGAAAAGAGTTGTTTCTTTCGTATGTTCTTCCTGTATTTACGTGGTGGATATTTCCTCTATTTACAGCTAAGCAACAACAAGATTTAAATCATTTCTATTATACGTGTTTAAAACGGGTGTTACTTTGCCTACAGTGGCGCGATAACTTCTTTTCTTTTGTGTTTAATGAAATATCTTTGGAGGACAGGTGGTTGAGGTATTGGAATAAGTATTTTGTGCGTTATCAGATACGACGGATGGCGAATTAATGTTTGAACAGGCGAATTTGAATGTATTTAGAGAGGCTTGGTTGTGGAAAGAAAATAGTGTTAAGGAGGTTTTCAGATCAAAACGATACGTACACCACACTTCTTTATTGGAGATATGTGTTTCCTGGTGCGCGGGAATTGCTTCGAACTAATCGATTCTAAACTACGACATAGAAGAGATTATGACCCCGGGTGACTTTTCTGAAACTTTTTGAGAATGATCCATTCTTTCATTATTTACTGTTCTGAACGTATGAAAAATGTTATAAGAATTTTTATTTTTTATTTTTAAATGTATATATATATTTTTCCTAAAATTTAGCTCTAATTTTCCGACTTTTTACAAGAAGCTCTGGAACAGATACATAGAAAAATTAAAAAGTTCGGCTCTGTTAAGTTGTAGCGGCTAGTCTTGGTTACATATTGACACCTACCCGTAGTTTGCATTGTTAAAATAGCAGGAGAAATGCTTGTTGCACGGAAACTCACTTTTTGACGGTTAATATTAGGATAACTGTGAACAACTCAGTATTTTGCGCTTAAACTTACTGTCAGCAGTCTAGAATCAAACACGCGTTTCGTAGAATTTTCAGATAAATCGGTTGTACTGGTACAAAATTATGTTTCTGAAGAGGTAACAGCAGAATAATTCATCGTCAACGAAAACAATCGGGGGCGTCTATCCTGTGGAACGTTTGAGGCCCAATGCCTCAAACAAAAGTAAAATGGTACACTTTTTTGCTGTAGAAATTCAGTTTTGAGGTGCTACACTGAGAGATCGAACCTCCGAGGTGGTACCGAACGCCTCAAATATCCAGTGGGGATAGACGTCGCTGAAGACAATGAAAAAAGGCACCAAAAACAGTTTCTTCTGTTCATTCCTCGGTGCAAAAGCAGAACAAACGCTGTTCAGACCAGTCGTTTCGTCATTTGGCTTTGACGAATCATTTCCCTGTCCAGTACTTTCTGTTGATCGTGTTTCTTTTTCTTTTTATCATGAATAAAAACTGGATGCATGCATGATTGGTCGTTTCTCGCATATTATCATCGTACTCTCCTGGATACTGAGAATCTGAAAGACAGCAACCTTATCTCAAGCCATATCTTTTTAAAAGACACGTCTTTTTCTCGTTTATCAAAGTTGGAGTTATACTCAATCACCATTATGTTAATCTGAACATGAGACAGCCATCACAAACATTTATTAGAAAAGTTCATATTTCCTGTTTCTCCAAAAACAAAAAACTGTAACAAGCACATAAAAAGATTCTGCTAATTACTAGTTTTTACAGACTGTCAGATCAACAAATAGGTGAGGCTGAGCCTCAATTAGCTGAAGCCAGGTGAGGCTCGAGCCGCACGGGTCTCAGTGGGTCCGCCGCCTGGCTTGTTTATTTCTCAGTACGTTTACACTGTTAGGACCTTCAAAGGTCGTCAGTTCTTGCACATAAATATATAACGCATTTCACGCTCTTATTTGTTGAAATAGCCACTACTCCAGACAAGGACCCAGGTTCAATAGACACGGTCGTATACGGCGGTCGTATTACGACGAAATACGGCGGTTTATGACTGCCGTATACGGCGAATTTCCTGTGACCTGTGTTCCTTGGAATTCCATCGCAAAATGTATTCTTATAAGTTTTCCGATATGAACTAGTGTTCTTTATGTGATCAAAATGGCATCAAAGTGTTCTTTTGATCAGCTACTCAGGTCCAAAAAGACGGTTAACGTCTAGTTAACGGCACAAAAAACGGCGCGTTAACGTTCTCGAAACAGCAAAAAACAGGCCGTTAACGGCCAGTTGGTGGCCAATCTCTCGGCGGCATCTTACAATTTATTTCCACTTCAGCAAACTATGATTACTATACTATATATGGAAGTTTGACGGAAGCTGTGGTAAGGTATTTTCATACATGGGAACCCACGCGTAGAAATTCATAGTATTTATTGCAACATGAATAGCAAATTCACACTTTTGTTTACAAGCAATATGGTATAACCAGAATGTGCTAGATTTATAATTCTAGATACGTGTGTTCGAATCTCAATCCTGGCAAACAATTATAATTGTATGTATGTGAGTGGTAAGGTAAGTGATATTCAAGACGATACAACGCATGGGTGACGTCCTGAAGCTCTGTATACATCTTCTGTAAAAGATGCTGGGAACGAAAAATAATTTTTTCTAAACTGACCGTTAACGGTCGTAAACAGGTTTACTGCCGTATTTACACCGTATACGTCGTTTACGATGCAAATACGACCGCAAACCGGTGATTTACTGCGGTCGTATAGGACTGTATACGGTCGTTTACGGCAGTCGTAAAATTGGACCTGGGGATCTGAGAACACTATCTTCCTTAAGATTCTGTTGTGCGCATTTGGATAGATCTCCTCGAGTTCCACATGACACACTGCTTTTTCTTGCTGAATGATTCAACAGAGAATGTTTGATGAAAATAATAATTTTTATGTTTTTTACGATAGTCTTCAATGTAGCGTAAGGAGTGAAACAATAATATTGTACTTTCCTCCGAAACAATAGATCGTATAAAATATCTGAACATATATTTGGATTCAGTTGGTCAAACTGCATTTGACGAGGTTGTTTTTGACCGTGACACGTCTGTGAGAGAATGTTTAGTACAAACAGAGTTTAATAGTACTAGTTTTCCAAGTATTCTTCAATTTGCAGATTTGCAGAAGCTGCTCACGTAACATAAAGTATACCATTCGATAGAGCTCGCCGAAATCTATAAAATACACCAGTTTTTATCAGTGACACAGTCCAGTGAGAGACTATTTGCCAAGGATACTAGCTTGTCAAATATCCCGCAGCAAAAATATTACTGTTTGCTCAGTAACTGTCCGATGGAAGGATCTATTTATTCGCAGTAGTACAGTTATATAGAGCTCACCGAATTCTCGGTGACACACGCCAAACTTTTATGACATACGTTTGCGTGAGAACATTTCCTAAAATTAAAATAAACAATAATAAAATAAAAAGCCCACTGTACTTCTTTCAAGAGTTATGAATTTGTTTTATTGGTAAGGCGAAACATTAATACTAAAAATTTCCAACTCAGCCAAAACAGCGAACTAAGAGCTGAAACTTTTTCTGTGACTGCTAGATGTTCATCATTATCACAGAAAGTTTCATCTTTCAAGCCCTACTACTTGGAAGTTCTTCAATTTTCCGTCGTAAGGACAACATGTGGAAAGCAGTCACGTGTAGGTATACACCAGTTTCGGTTCTTAATTGACTATTTGCCAAGAATACTAGTTTTGCCAACTATCTTCTCTTAGAAAATATTACCGTTAGCTCAGTAATGTTGTGCTCAGATGTTATCAGTGAAAAATAAGGATAAAAATAAATTGTTTGTAGATTTTATCACCCCACAATACTGTTTTTTGATTTAATAGGTTTTAAGTTTCCAACTTATTTTACTGCCGAAGTGCAACAACAAACAGTTCCAAAATCACAAATTTCCACCGTTTCAGTAAACAAATGTGCAAATTTCAAATGTTCTGGAAGGAACGACTTAAGGTAATTTTCATCTTCTCTCTTTGGAAAGCAATATGCCGACGGTGCCATCACCGAAATTTGCAACAGCTAAATCAGTTCTATAATCACCATTGAAATCACCTGTTGTCACACAATATGGAGATTTCCCAGCTGCATATGTGATCTGCGTCTCAAATGTTCCGTTCCCGTTCCCGAGCAGTATACTGACGGTGTTACCAAAGGAATTTGCCACATCTAAATCAGTTCTGTTATCACTATTGAAATCACCTGGTGCCACACTATGTGGATTCTGCTCAGTACTGTGTTGAATTGCTTCTTCGAATATGCCATTGCGGGAACTGAGCAATATACTAACGCTGTGACTCTCGACATTTGCAACCGCTAAATCAGGTCTGCTATCACCACTGAAATCACCGGTTGTTACATAAACAGGGGTTTTCCCAGTGCCATATGTGATTTGACTCTGAAATATTCCATTGCCATTGCTGAGCATTATAGTCACGCTGTTCTTCCGGCTATTTGTAACAGCTACATCAGTTCTCTTATCATGACTGAAATCAGCTGCTATCACGGAATATGGTGCTTTCCCAGTGGTATATTGTACTCGACTTTGAAATGTGCCGTTGCCCTTACCGAGTATTATACTGACGGTGTTATCATCGAAATTGCTTACAGCTAAAGCACTTATATGATCACCGTTGAAATCAGCTGTTGCCAGAGACCATGGAGCGTTCCCAGTGGTGTATTGTACTTGACTCTGAAAAGTTCCGTTTCCGTTACCGAAGAGTATACTGATGCTGTTGTTGCGGAAATTTGCAACAGCTATATCAATCCTATGATCACCATTGAAATCAGCTGTTGCCAGAGAACGCGGACCTTTCCCAGTGGTATATGTGTATTGACCTTGGAATGTTCCATTGCCGCTACCGATGTATACAGTAACGGTGGCATCGCCATAATTTCCAACAGCTAAGTCAGTTCTGTTATCGCCAGCGAAATCATCGGTTGTCACAAAATATGGATGCCGCCCAGTGCCATATGTGATTTGATTTTGAAATGTTCAGTCGTCGTTACCGATGAATATACTGATCATGGAGTCATCGTAATTTACAACAGCAAAATCGGTTATTTGATCACCGTTGAAATCACTGCCCAGGTCGAATTTTACGACTGCCATTAACGACCGTATACAGTTCTATACGACCGCAGTAAATCACCGTTTGCGGTCGTATTTACATCGTAAACGACGTATACGGTGCAAATACGGCAGTAAACCTGTTTACGACCGTTAACGGTCAGTTTAGAAAAAATTATTTTTCGTTCCCAGCATCTTTTACAGAAGATGTATACAG